TCCCTCAATTATAACATACCTGTTCAATTGCACTGTCCACAGGAGAAGATGATATTGCAGATGAAGGGTTCCCCCCGAATGAGGACATCAATGCCCTGACAGACTCCACACACTCCCTCATTGATTTAATCATTTCTGGCAGGTCTAGGTGAATGTAACAATAAGGGGGGAAAACATTTGGTTTTTTAGTTAGTCAACGTAATGGTGCTTAAGTTCAGTACATGACAATAATGTGGAAACACCCTGAATCATTGTTTAGTAAATATAGTGTGTTTTGACATGTCAGCCCCTCTAATTCCAATCTGAACACCAACCATGAAGGGCAGACATGACTTCATTCATTCCAGGTGCCATGCCATGATCAGTATTATCGCCCGTCAGTTCCTTCAATGGAGAATGAAATATTTGGCAGAAAAGAGAAAAAAAGAGATTAGAATCACATTGAACCTCATTAAGGTACCACAGACATTTACAGAACCTGATGTTAAGAATCGTGGGAGGAAACAGCGGCAGATATGATGTCGTGTTTATTTTGCATGTTATAGATCGTGATTATTTTATGCTTGTTTTTCTGGATCCCAATAAACACAACAGACAAACACTACAGTTTGTCCAGCTGTCATGCTGACTGATTGAGATCTGTGAATGACAATCTAACAGCTGTGATCCCATCCTGTGCACACTTGTAATTATAATAAATGCTAGGGCAGCACAATTAATCGCATTTTCAATATAATCACGATTTAAAAACACGCAATTTCCAAATCGCAGAGGTCTGCAATTTTTGGCTATGTAACAATTAGGGAATTAGACACGTCCATTAGGTGTCGGTAAAATGTTTAAAGTGGGCTTGCCTCCACATGGAAGGGAAGACAGTTGCAGCAGTGAGATAATCTAACTATATTACTTGTTTTAGAGTTTATATAATCATATATAGCATTAAGTTCTGGTCAATCAGTTTATTCATAGACTTGCTTGTTGGTTGTACTTTATGTTCAACAAGGATCGATGTCTAAATCAATTAAAAGCTGTTCTGTTGAAATATATTCTGATTAATAGAAACATAAAAAATTATTGTTTTAAATAGTTCTTGTTTACAAACATCTTTATTTAGAGGCCATTTTTGTTGCTTGTGGTTAATGCGGAGAAAAGTCAAAATTGCAATTTTGGTTGAAATATATTGTCGGCAGAACGCGATCATGTCTGCTCTGAGTTTAGATGCTGTGGGTCTTTTAGCACAGCCTTTTTTACAGATCCGTTGTGGTGAAGAGAGAGCTGAGCCAAAAGGCAAAGCTCTCGATTTACCTGTCAATTTACGTTCCTACCCTCATCTATGGTCACGAGCTTTGGGTCGTGACTGACAGAATGAGATCCCGGATACAAGCAGCTGAAATGAGTTTTCTCCGTAGTGTGTCTGGGCTCTGCCTTAGAGATAGGGTGAGGAGCTCAGTCATCCAGGGAGGACTCAGAGTAGAGTCGCTGCTCCTCCACATGGAGAGGAGCCAATTGAGGTGGCTCGGGCATCTGGTCAGGATGCCTCCTGGACGCCTCCCTGGTGAGGTGTTCCAGGCACGTCCCACCAAGAGGAGGCCCAGAGGGAGACTCAGGACACGCTGGAGGGACTATGTCTCTTGGCTGGCCTGGGAATGCCTTGGGATTCCTCCTGAGGAGCTGGCCCAAGTGGCCGGGGAGAGGGACGTCTGGGCCTCCTTACTGAAGCTGCTACCCCCGCGACCCGACCCAGGATAAGCGGAAGAAGACGGACGGACGGGTCTTTTAGCAACTAATCCGCACGCCGGGGAAACAAATTGATTTGCTATTTGTATATGTTTAAAAAGACATGATAAATTGAACTGGGGGAAAAATCGCATTAAATCACAATATTAAGATAAAAAAATCACAATCAGATTATTTTCCAAAATAATTTAGCCCTAATAAATGCTGTTCTAAAGGTTCCATATAAATAAAGATTTTATTATTATTATTATTAGCCCTTATTTGTTATTAGTGACAATATTTTTAGACACACACGTGTGCATGTACATGCTTTTTATATCTATATATACACTTTATTTCTCAAAGGAAATACTGTATGTAAAGGACACTCTTCTAATCCATGTGGACCGTGTGGGACAAAACAATAATGAAAGGTGTTTGAAAATTATTATATTGTTGAATATATTAAATAAAAGTAAATGAAATACATTATGCTTAGTTGGTATGTACATGACAGCCAAAAGGAGTTTATTGGAAGAAATAAGATATGTAACAATTGTGAGATAAAGTTTTACCTGCAGCTGGATTTAAGATCTCTGACCTTTGCCTGACCTATTCAATCAATATGATATAATTTCATCATAATAATTTAATATTCAATATAAATGTACTTGCCGTTCTCTGGGCTGAGGAGAAACCCAACTCTTCATCTGAGGCATGGTCCTGAAAAAAGCGACAAGAGAAAAGAGCTGTGAGAAGCAATTCAACAGAGAAAGAATTTGTGTTTGAAAATACACAACAGCTAGGAAAGAAGTATGACTTACAATGTCATGCCGTTGTGGACTCCCTATGTATGTGGCGTCATCAGAACTGGGACTGGATGCCAGGGGTAAAAGCACACGTCTTGCTGCCTTGTAAATCTTTGCTCGCTTTCCCTGAAGAAAAACATTTATATAGTAAAAGGAGGAAAATGATTAATCATATCCTGAAATTTGAGTTGTAGTAAAGACTACAATATTTAAGTAGAAAAAAATAGAAGATATATCACTGAAGTTGACGGCATAGATGAGTTTTTAAAAACTAAAATAGACAGACTACCATCATAATTAATACAAAGAATTTGTGTTAATTATGATTGTGTCTATTAGACGTTAATTATCTGTTAATGAAGTGTCTGAAAGACACCACAGTTTTTGGTGTTTTAAACATCGTAGCCACCTGCTCAAGAAAAACGTATGCCTTACCCTTTGTGGAGATTCATCGTCAGAACTGCAGTGGTGATCTTGTGTGTCTAGGGCCCTCTTTTGAGACAGGGAAGCCTTTAGGTTTTGTAACACCTGGTTGCTGGCTGCCTCTTTGATCCTGGTTTGTTTTGCCTGTCAAAAACGTTTATAAAGTAAAAACAAAGTTAAGACTGTCATCACAGTGTAAAATTATCACTAGCATACTAAGCCTAATTAAATCCAGGATAAATTTTATACTAGAGAAAACACAGAAATAATTTCATTAGCACCCTGACAGACAATGGAAGTAGAGGTGCGGCAGTAGTGGCGAAGAACGGAGCCTCCATAATAACTGATCATGAGTATATAGATCGTTGATTATATAGAGCACACTCTGCTGAACGCAAGGGAAAACTTTCTCAAATTGTGTTTCTTGCCAAATTCAAACTTCTTGACTATAAATATTCATCATTGATCAAATAAACCTCAACTGGTTTAAAGTTCAAGGATTAGTGATGCCCTTTTTCTCTTTTAATGGTATTAGATTGTTAATTTCTGCTTGGTGTTGCTTCAGTGCATCCTACTGGCAGGTGTAAAGCTAAAGATTTGCAAAAAAAAAAACAACTTCAAAATATAGCACATTGTTAATGATTGAACTAGTGGTTTCCAAGTTTTATGAGTCCTACAAAAAGCTTTGTGTAATCAGGTTGACAATTTAGATGTTTTCTGATTTAATCTTCCATTAATTATCTCACCACCCCCCAGATGTAGCTTATTTGGTGTCTCTGTATGTAAAAATGCCTTAACAGTAGTTGAATCTATAGTCCTACATCTGGCAGCTACAACAACAAAATGCTGCTACATCATGATGTCTCACTAATATTCATTTAATGTTTTCATCTATAACAATATATCAGTCAGAGGGAGTAAATCAGTACATTTACTTTGATAGCTACATTTTACTGCAAATAATTATGCACTTTAACTTGAGTGGGATTTGTCATGCATGGTTTGTAATGGAGTATTTTAGCAAAACAGTAAAGCGATCGCTTTACTGTTTTTTACTTAGCTAAATGATTTGAATTTTGTCAAAACCTCTATCATAAAGGAAAGCACATGGGTGTGTAGCTAGCCAAACTATTGGAGCAGCTTTTGCGCAAGCATTAAGGAAAGTTGCGAGCACTCACCTGCACGGCCGTTTTAGGCTTTACTACGTCGGTCTCCCACATTTTCTTTTTCATGCGCACACCCCTGCTTTCCTCCTCGGCCCATATATCCTTACCGAGAAGGAACAAATTCTTTTTCGACACGAGTTCTTTGTAGGAGTCTGATATAACGAGAAGAGTAAGAAAAATTAATTTTAGCCAAGACATTCTTCCTAACAACGACACAATTAAACAGTTAAAGCTGCAAGGTAGCTGAAATAGTTAGGAAATTAATAGGTATTCTCCATACTTGCCTCCAAATAACAGAACCTTAGCAGCCACCGTCCTCTTTGGTTCTTTTCTCGTAGGCCACTTTATTTCAATCCAGTTCGTGTCGTCATCAAGGTCCGGCTTGGATACCACTTGGGTGAACTGGTTGCTACTAAGAATGAGCGACGTACTCTCCACTTTAAGTGTTTTATCAAATAAGTAGTAGATGGCGAATTGGAATGACATTGTTTCCTCCTAACCGTATAGTCTATCCTAACCTGCCAACCTGCTTTCACGCGAGTGAAAGATGGATGCAACGGATGAGAACGGCCGCAGCTCTGATTGGCTGAAAGTGAAAAGCGATGCACTTCATTGGTCAGAGACTCGGCGCCGATATATTTTTTAAAAAATACGAATTTTAGAGACGTTTTATACAGTCTTGTATGTTACAGTTGCTGTTACAAATCATCATGCCAGCAAAACGAAAACTGAAGAGACATTTGAATTCTGACGAGAGTCAACCAGAGATACAGACGCCAAGAACAACAAAATATAGAAGACTTCAACCGAACCAGGTAAAGAAAATGAAATGCTGTGGGCTATAATGAAAATGTCTATTTTACTCTTCCGCCTGAAAAAATGTTGTATTCTGTATAACATTACGAAGTGAAACGTTTCAAGATAACTACTACAATATCAAGACAGTTTTGTTAAAGTGTTATTAGCTATATCCAGGGGCGGATTTAGGAAATTTGGGGCCCTAGGCAAAGACAGGGATGGGGCCCTCTGAATTGAGAAGACAACATATAGAACAGACCCATTATACAGATACAGAAATTTTAATAGAATAGAAATTTGAGGATGTTATGTATCTTCAAGTTTGTCTATGTCACTGTAACTCGGAGGAAATAATCTCTCTCTCTCATATATATATATATATATATATGTGTGTGTGTGTGTGTGTGTGTGTGTGTGTGTGTATATAAATAAATAAAAGGTGCATGTCACAGGAAAGACTAGTGTTGTTACAAATATGACAATTGCTTAAACTATAGAACAGTAAATTATTTAATTTATAATTAATGTGAGCCTTAACATCCCCAGCTGTACACAATAACACACATTAAAGCAATGTTAATACAAAGCTGTAAAGCAGAGTGAGATGTTGATAATAACTTCCTTATGTTTTTTGAATGTATAACTTAAATTATCAAGGACTAAACCACCTAAAATTTATGGGTGATTTTACAACATTTAAAAGCCTGAGATTTTCCTGAAATTCAACATAAAAATCACCTAAATAATTGATTTTTCATCGTTTGTAGCAAATCCAAATGAAATTAGAAACTTACTTTAAAATGACCCATCTTAAATAAGGTAAATAAATACTTATCAATATAGGGGGAATAGCCCCTTCGACAGCTTAATACTAACTAGTTGTTCAACTCCACACGATGGATCCTCCTCAACAGGCGCCAGCGTTACCGCTGAGTTTCAATGTTTGCGGGTTACTGCTGCTGCTGCTCGCCGCTGCCGCAGTGAAGCCGAACCCCAAAATCCCACATACTCCGTTAGCGCTCCGCCCCGCTGCGCTCCAGACCGCCTGCGCAAAGCAAAGCCTACAGCCTCCACTGTGGCTCCCGTCCGCTCCGCTCTGAGTTCCTTGGAGATCGTAGAGGGCATGCGCGAGATGCACCAGGGTTTCCGCGGATCATCAAAAATAATTACAATTCATATAGTTTTTTTAAATCAAGGCCTTAATTGGCACTAAAATGAATTAAATATGTTTATCGTGGCATTTATGATTCTTTAATAAAAATGTTTATAAAAACAATTTCGTCAGATATATCGCTATTAATTTGCGTGAAACTGATCATAAAGCTGTATGTTCGGAAAGGAAGCTCGAGGCGGAGAAAAAGCTAGAGAATATATATATATATATATATATATATATATATATATATATATATATATATATATATATATATATATATATATATATATATTTGTAGATTTTTGTAACGGGGATAATTGATCATGCTTTTTTTTAATGAACTTTGTTTGTTCTCTACTCCCAAACTCAGCATCTCTTCATCCATTCCTGTAATAAGAAGTTTCTTTTGAATGGATTTGATTAAACTTTTAGTCCCTCGGTATAAAATAAATATTTTGATGGAGATGAGAAATCTGCTTCCTGGTTTGTGAATAACCAATAGTTTGCATCGTATCATTTGACGAACCGGAATTTCTCGATGTTCTTTTTCCTGTTCGGTGCGATTGCAATTGCGGATCTTGACCTGGCCGGACCGGAGCAGAGCAAAAAAAAACTCGGCTCTGTATTTTGTCGGTGACGGACGGAGAAGACGTACGTGGACCGAGACGTGCGGAGGAGTAGCGGTGGATGTGGAACAGCTCTCATTGATTTACATGAAAGACAAGCGCTCCGCACGACGTACATCAGCGGGGCGGAGCGGAGCACTGACAGAGTATGTGGAATCTGGGGGGAAGTCAGTCATTTTCGGTAACTTTGAAAGCAGCTTCCTACTTTCATTCTTCTTTCTCCTCTTTTCAGCACCGCTAGGGTAACTTCTTTTCATATTTCTTACCTTTCCTTTCTTTTCTCTTCTCCCCCGCTCTGCTCGTATTGTCTCTTCGCGCCGGTTGTTTTCAAATAATTTGCTGCGGTGTGTTTGGACCTTTCTGCCCATGCGCAGCAAATGGACTGAACCAAAGTAGTGGACACTGTTGGGGGGTCCCCGAGACACACTTAATATTTTAAGCATTCTAATGGCATTTTAGCGAAAGGATTTTTATCAAAAACATAATTAATGTGCACAAATAAGTAAAAGCTGTATTAACCATACATGTAAAAGGAGTTTTAGGGGGCCCCCCAGGAACTCGGGGCCCTTGGCAACTGCCTAGTTCTGCCTAATGGTAAATCCGCCCCTGGCTATATGATGTAAAAATGTGAAGTAGGCCTACATTGTTTTTACGTGAAAATCTTTAACAGACCCCATACATTCATTAAAGACTTTAAAACATATATGTGTTATAGCTTCTGACTTTTACTATGACATCTGCAGGAAAAATAGGTTGGTAGGTATATTATAATATCCCAGCCTATAAGATAAACCTATCTGATGGTTTTCTAAAAGACAGTATTGCTTCCAGTATTATATCTTCATTCTGAAATGTTTGCCCAACTCCACTGTAAGTCATCAAGGGTAATCATACATAAACACTAGTGCTAGCTAGTGGATAAAGCTCTTACTGTGTTCAGGTTTCCTATTATCTTTGTTTTTACTGTATCCACAGAAACAGAAAAAATTGTTCTACAAGAGATTTCTTTGTACATCTTCAGTTCCAAGAACATCCCTTTACAGAAGACAAGTTACTGAAAAGGTAAGTTCAGGAGAAAGAATTATTATCTAGTAAATGTAGCTATTTTTATATCCCAATGTTACACTATATGTTTTAGACCACCGAAGCTGCATTTAATTGCTCTACATTTGTCTCAGACTTGTCTTAGAGATCATAGTAATGCAGATTACCAAGAAGTGGATGGAGAGAGACAGGAGGACAGAGAGGAAGATGGTGGAAGTGGACATGGCGACAGAGAGGAAGATGGCGGAAATGAACATGATGACAGAGAAGAAGATGATGGAAGTGGACAAGAGGACAGAGAAGAAGATAGTGGAAGTGGACATGACGACAGAGAGGAGGATGATGGAAGTGGACATGACGACAGAGAGGAGGATGATGGAAGTGGACATGAGGACAGAGAAGAAGATAGTGGAAGTGGACATGAGGACAGAGAAGAAGATAGTGGAAGTGGACATGATGACAGAGGGGAGGATGATGGAAGTGGACATGAGGACAGAGAAGAAGATGATGGAAGTGGACAAGAGGACAGAGAAGAAGATAGTGGAAGTGGACATGACGACAGAGAGGAGGATGATGGAAATGGACATGAGGACAGAGAAGAAGATAGTGGAAGTGGACATGATGACAGAGAGGAAGAGAGGAGTCAAGCCGGAAATCAAGATTCAAACCAATTGAAGGTACAATCATTTAATTACAGATTGTCTGTATATTGTTATTTTACATAACATGTATGAGACATCTCTCTTATTAGGACAATACTGTCGTTATAATTTGGCTTATGTGTCCCATTGTGTTTTAGGTATAAATGTGAGCAATCTTGTCTTGTATTACAGAAACACCATGATGATGATCCTGTATACCCTGGTGCTCCCATCACAAAAGGACAGAGTCTGCTCTTACTCATGTCATATGTACTGAGGCACAATTTGACAGGAGTAGCTCTTCAGGATCTTCTTACAATGTTTAATGAACATTTCCCTGGCTTGGTGCCAGCAACCTCATATCTTTTTTATAAAGCATATGGGCAGTTTGGCCATTATGCGCCCCATTTTTACTGTGTAAACTGTGAAAGCTATATGGGACCCAGAGAGTCAGCTCCAAAAAATTGTTCTTCTTGTAATGCTGAATTTGACATTGAGAAAAATTTA